ATACTGGTCTAGGTGGACCAATGGTTTTACTCTGTATAAGGCAGCTTCAAACGTTCCTATTACCTGTAAATGGTAGTGGTAATACTGATGTAATAAAGGTACAGTAAAGGGTAAAGGGACAGCTTCCGGGTCATGTGGCCAGCATGACTAAGCCGCTTCTGGCGAACCAGAGCAGCGCACGGAAACGCTGTTTACCTTCCTGTTGGAGCGGTACCTATTTATCTACTTGCACTTTGACGTGCTTTTGAACTGCTAGGTTGGCAGGAGCAGGGACCGAGTAACGGGAGCTCACCCCGTTGTGGGGATTCGAACCACCGACCTTCTGATCGGCAAGTCCTAGGCTCTGTGGTTTAACCCACAGCGCCACCCGCGTCCCTAATACTGATGTAAGGACAGCTAAACTATCACAGAACATAGATGCCCAAACATCATTGTAGAGAGTTGCCTTTACACTGGTCTCCCCACACAATCTTGCATTTGAGTAAAAAAACAAAGTTTGACAAGGATTTTGCAGGAATTTAAGTTCTGTGGTTTGGACCTGGAAAGGCATGAGCAGAACTGTGCTCACAGAATGGGACTTTTGTACATTGTACTGGCACCTCACCACTTATGGAGTTTTGCAAGATGACAGAGACCCTTCGTTTCAGAAGAATCATTGGTCTTTAAAGCATTGCTTTAGCTGTTATTCAGCTCCTGATTTTATTTTATTTTATTTATTTATTTTCTCAATAAAAGAACTTTAATAAAAGATGTACATAAGAATAAGTTGTCAGCATTTCAGTGATATAGCTTCGAGTACAGTCATATGAAATGCAGCAGCATCAAGCATAAGCCAAGAGACAGAGTAACAAACTATATTTACTGTGTATTGATAATGTTTAATGCTGCTGTGCTAAGCTGTTACGTATTTTGCTCCTCGGTTGTGTTTTATCTTGCTGGTTATTTTTTACACAGTAGCATTTTGTTACATAATGGTTTATTGTTTTGTTTTATTATTGATACTTCAGGAAATCGGTGTATTCATTATCTTTAAAAAGATATAAATAAATTGTAGTTTACTCACCCAATCCCAGGAATCTGAAAAAGGGGGAAACTTTGTCTCCAAGCATTTGTCCTTGGACCTGATTCTATCTACAGCTTAAAAAGCAGTATCAATGGGGTCATTTCTTCTTATGGATCGCTCCTGCTATTAATTATTTCAAGGACTCATACTGAAATAATTTGATATTGTTGGTAAGTTGCCTTTGCTTGAATAATTCTTTTTAAACAAAACTGAACATTTCAGAAGTAACAAGATCACTCACTTGAATAGAAATACTTCTTGATTATTCCAGAGGCTTGGTGAAAAGTCGTACTCCATCACTTTATAATTTGCTGCTCCATCATATGCAACCTTCTAAAATGAAATATATTACAACATAGGAAACCATCTTAGAGCAACAAATTCAGGATGAAATATGGCTCGCAATTTGGGCTAATTCTCCTCCCTGATGTCTGCGTGTTTTAAAGTGATGCATTTTGGTTATCTTACACCAGAACATAAAACAGAAGATTATGACATACAGAAAGTGGAAACAGTGTGCCACCAATGGAGTCATACACCCAAGTCACTATTTTAAAATTTCACTGGCTTAACCATGTGGATGTGGTAGACTGGGATTTAGGTTGTATGATAAAGCATTTATATGCACATACATAAATATGAAAAATGGGCAATTTGCATTTCCTCAATTCTTTTCTCTCCACCTAAACATGATCATGTGTTGTTGCACTAATTACTGGAGATTGTCAGCTAAACATAAGTTTTCAGTCCAAGTGACAATTGTCATCTAAATTGTTCTGGTTTCAGGTTACTGATGTCAGGCTGAAATTATATATATAGATATATATAGCACATTTAGTCTCAAATCTTCCATTATCGGGCAAGGTGACTGAGTGAGTGGTTGCTGAACAACTCCAGGCACGCCTGGAAGAAGCGGACCATTTGGATCCCTTCCAGTCAGGATTCAGGCCTCATCATGGGACTGAAACTGCCTTGGTCGCACTGTTCAATGATCTCCGGCAGGCTAGGGACACAGGTGAGAGCTGTTTCCTACTTCTGCTGGATCTCTCAGCAGCTTTTGATACCATCAACCATAACATCCTTCTGGACCGTCTAGAGGAGCTGGGAGCTGGGGGCACTGTCATACAGTGGTTCCGCTCCTTTCTCCTGGGCTGTGTTCAGAAAGTGGTGGGGGGGATGAGTGTTCAGACCCCTGGGCTCTCACTTGTGGGGTGCCTCAGGGTTCTGCCCTCTCCCTCATGCTTTTTAATATCTACATGAAGTCGCTGGGAGAGATCATCAGGGGGTTTGGGCTGGGTGTTCATCAGTATGTGGATGATACCCAGCTCTACCTCTCTTTCAAATCAGAACCAGTGAAGGTGGTGAAGGTCCTGTGTGAGTATCTGGAGGTGGTTGGAGGATGGATGCTGGCTAACAGATTGAGGTTGAATCCTGACAAGACAGAAGTACTGTTTTTGGGGGACAGGAGGCGGGCAAGTGTGGAGGATTCCCTGGTCCTGAATGGGGTAACTGTGCCCCTGAAGGACCAGGTGTGCAGCCTGGGAGTCATTTTGGACTCGCAGCTGTCCATGGAGGTGCAGGTCAATTCTGTGTCCAGGGCAGCTGTTTACCAGCTCCATCTGGTATGCAGGCTGAGACCCTATCTGCCCCGCGGATTGTCTCGCCAGAGTGGTACATGCTCTAGTTATCTCCCGTTTGGACTACTGCAATGCGCTTTGAAGGTGCCCCGGAAACTACAACTAATCCAGAATGCAGCAGCTAGACTGGTGACTGGGAGCAGCTGCTGAGACCACATAACACCAGTCTTGAAAGACCTACATTGGCTCCCAGTATGTTTCTGGGCACAATTCAAAGTGTTGGTGCTGACCTTTAAAGCGCTAAATGGCATTGGTCCAGTATACCTGAAGGAGTGTTTCCACCCCCATCGTTCTACCCCGACACTGAGGTCCAGCGCTGAGGGCCTTCTGGCGGTTCCCTCATTGCGAGAAGCCAAGTTACAGGGAACCAGGCAGAGGGCCTTCTCAGTAGTGGCACCCGCCCTGTGGAACGCCCTCCCACCAGATGTCAAAGAGAACAACTACCAGACTTTTAGAAGACATCTGAAGGCAGCCCTGTTAGGGAAGCTTTTAATGTTTGATGGACTATTTTGTTGGAAGCCGCCCAGAGTGGCTGGGGAAACCCAGTCAGATGGGCGGGGTACAAATAAATAATAATAATAATTTACAGTTCATCTGTCTTTCATCATAGAACTGAAGATCGCATGGACTTATTCTAGCACTGACCAAATCTAGATATATTTAGTTTGGGTAGGTGGCTGCTTCATGTGTCTTTGGACCACATGAGTATAGTGGGACTTTTGAATAAAAAATCTTTAGGATTACACTTTTAGTTCCATAATGAACACATACTAATAAGAAAGAGTCAGTAATTGGTTTTAAAAGGCATTTCACCAAGAAATTGTAGAATTACAGAATGCCAAGTTGCCAACAGCAGCTGCTTAACATTCAAGGTGCACATTCACTTAAAAAGTCAGTTCATGTTTAAAAGTAATTACAATCATTTTTTATATATAGCTCTGGAGTACATTCAGAATAACAGCTATGACTTTCTTGCTCCCATGGGACCTTGCAATACCCTGACCAGAGTTATGGACTGATTGTGTGTGCGGATAAAGCTAAAACAAGAAAGAGAGTGTTTATTAAGACAGTGATAGAACCTGGATATGGCAATTGATTGGTGCCTGAGAATGAATATAATGGATGACTATCATGATGAATGGGTTGAGTGAAAGCAGCATTAAACTTTATTATTCTGGGGTAAATGCTTCCATGAGAAAATATCACAGCAAGTTAATGCTTTATATACCAAGAGATATACCAAGAGATATACAGACACGGAGACTGTGCACACACTTCCATTTACTCTACATTGTGCTCCTACTGCTGGCTTGGGATGTGATGTAAACACGTTAGCCACAATCTATACCTATCCTGTATAGAAATACTGCATTTTGACACATCCCCCCCCCAAAACCAGCTTCTATCCAAGTTGAGAAAAAGAACAACCTAGCTGTATTTTAAGCGGGAAGTGTGCACACAGCCCATAACAAATATTGACCAGGGACCCTTTCTCTCAGCTACCAAAGTAGGAACATAGGAACCTGCTGGTGACTAACATTGGAGGTTTCCCCCCCAAACACTCACAACTACAACTTGATTTGGAGGAGAGAAAAACCATGTAGCATACAGAAGTGTTTTGGATAGGTATGCCACACAATGGTACATTTTTGTTTTTCTGTGTGTGGCTGGGTTTTGCGGTTGGATGACCACACTGTGCCAAAATGTAGTTATCGAGTGTTTTTCCAATGCTTCATTATTATGATTATGGTATCATTGTTACCTTTTCGGTTTCTCCTTTTTTTAAACTGCATTTCATCTGAAAGAAATCCAGATGGTCTTTTGTCTGTCTTGACATTTAACAAAAAAAGCATCCACTCGACTATGCCTCCAAGATACATTATGACTAATTTTTAGTGTACAATCGGACCCCCTCCTTTGGGCATCTTGTCGGTTTTCCATCGCTTCCCCTTTCAGCAAAGGGCAAAATGTGCTAAAAGGGAGGCAGTTCGGGGGAAAGAGCGCGCGTGGCCCGAGGCGCACAAATCCTGCCGCGCTTTCTTATTCTCTGCAGATTCAGTGGGAACCTCTGATTTTGTTCGACGGCGGCAGCGGCGCTTCCACTACAACCTGAGCCCTGTGGGCTCCGTCCTCGAGCAGGAGCGAGCCGCATTGAACTCCGCCGAGTTCAACATGGGTGTAGACTCGAGCTGAGACTAAAAGTAGTACTTCGAATGAAGTTTCACGGAACGAGGCTGGGCGTGGTGAAGGAAGCGTCCTTTTAAAGGTGGGGTGGGACGGGAGAAGCAGAGAACTTTTCCCTTTTCGAGCGTTCACACGAGACCACGACGAGTGCCCACCGTGGGTGCCATTCGCCCCTCGAGCGTCGACTTCCCTCACGGCTGCGCGTGAGGAGAAAAAGAGGAGCGAAGCGGCGCCTCGCCTCCCCTTCCCCTCAGCCAGGGTGTGCCTCCTCCTCCTCGCCCGCCTGCCCGCCCCGGAGCGAGGCGCCCCTCTCTTCTCCGGGAGACGCCTGCCGCCTTCCTGCCTCCCCCTCCTCACCGAGTCTCTTTGTGGGGCCCCAGGGAGAGGAGCCCAGCGCGCCGCCGCCGCCGCTCCTTCGCCCGCCCTTCCCCGCTCCCTCCCGCCATTGTGCAGCCGGCAACGCCAGCTCTCCCACCTGCTGGCGGCGGCGAGGCGAGCGACGCCCCCTCTCGCTTCCCATTCGCTCCCCATTCACCCTTCTGTGCGCGCGTATGTCCCCAGCTGAACCGGGGAGAGCCCCCCCCTCCTCCTCCTCCATCTCCGCCCCGCTCCGGAGCGTGCAGTGCCGCCACCTTGCCCTCCCTCCCTCGCTTCCTCCTCCTCCTCCTCGTCGTCGCGCGCTCCCCGAACTAAAAGGAGGCAGCTGTTCGGCCAGCGGCGCCTCCTCCTCGCTCCCGTTTCCAGCCCTCGGGAGCCGTCGCCGCCGCTTTCCACCCCAAAGGCGTGCAGCTCGGGGAATAGGAAGAGGAGGCGCTGCTGCTGCTGCTGCCGCCGCCGCCGCCTCAGACTGCAATGTGCGCCCTGCTGCTGCTGCTGCTACTCCTGCCGCAGCCCCAGCCGCAGCCCTGAAGGAGCCATGCCGGGCTGGAAGAAGACCATCCCCGTGTGCCTGCAAGCCGAGCAGGAGAGAGGTGGGTGAGCGCCACTCAGGCGCCGCGAGGGGGCTTCGGCGGCGCCGCGGCCGGCAAGTGGGGTGGGCTGAGTGAGGCGAGACCCCGCTCTCCGTCGCGCACCGACCCTTCCCCCTCCGCCCGCTCCTCCCTCAGGTGCTCTCCGCCGAGCGCGGAGCCCTCCTTCGGCTCCGGGAGGCGAGCGGGTGGCGGGAACGAGGTTGCCCCGCGAGTGGGGTGGAGGGGGGGAGTGTCTTGTCAGAAAGCGGCACCTGAGGGCGGGAGGGGCCGGCCCGTCGTCTTCCTCCTCCTTCTCCTGGTCGTGCCGCGAGTGAACTTTTATTTGCCTGGCTGAGGGAGGCGGGGGTGGCTGGGCTTCCCCTTCAGGCAGACCCTCCATGGGGCCTTGGCTTCTGTTTGTTCCGCCGGTATCCTTGGGAAACGGAGAGACTTGGCGAAGTTTTTTGTTTTAGTTCCTGTTCTCTCTGGGGCTTCTTCCGTAGGGGAAAAGTGGCTCTGCAGGGACATTTTGGGTCCAGACCAAGTGTGTGTTTTTTTGGGGTGTGTGTGGAGGAGAGCTCTGTAATGGATCTTTCCTCTGGTGGGCAAGTGTAGTGGAGAATGCAAAGTCCCCACAGTGTTGTTCTGGTGTTTTGCCTGAGGGGAGGGGTGGTGGCAGGTGCTGCTAGCAAGGGACCCCTTCCCTTGCAAACCACGCAGCATTGGGCCAGCAGTCAGCATGGCAAGCCATAGAGCCCCAGGTTCCAGCTGGAGGGAAAGGAGGGTGGGCCCTATGCCCTGTCTCCTTTTAGGATGAAGCTCCTTCCGTGGCACTTGGAGTGGTCAATCTGCGCCAACTACGAACGTGGGGCTTTCTGAAAGAAGCAGTGCCCTCATTTAGAGTTGCCTGGTTCTGTTAGAGCGAATGCTTTTAGACATTTGCAGCTCTGTACAGCAGGCAAGGAAGGAATGGCTTTTATTTCAGATAGTCCAGATTCTAAGGGTTTCTCTGTTACGCAGATTTCATCAGAGAAAGCTGGTGAAGTAATACAGTAGCCCCCCCCCCTTTTAAGGGACTTTCTACATGTATAGTGCAGCCTTCTGGTCCAGAGATATCCCTGATATAAGGGGAATTGTTGTCTGTTATTCATATTCCAGAACCAGACAAAACTCTTGCTTTCAGCTGCTTAGCCCCTCTGAACTTTTTCCTCATGTTGAGTGCTCACTGTTTTCATTACACACTGTGGGGAAGCTTGCAGGGGCTGTTATTGTCATGCTTTGTATTTTATCCGTCTTAAAAAGCCATTGTTACGGAAAGAAACACACCCGATTTTGTCAGAAATGGTATTCTGCACACACTTTCTCTTGGGTATGTTTGCAAAGCGACCATTCATCTCCACTGGTGGCCATGGGGCTTTTAGATCCCAAGTTTAACCCTAATCAGTACCTGTGCTTACCAGCTTACCAAGTGCTCAGAAGTAATTAGCTGATAGCACTCATCCTCAAGGTAAGTTAGAATTGCTGGAAGTCTGGAATTTGGAAAATACTCCTATAATTTGTACTTGTCCTGGTTGATGGTATCAGAAATACATTTGTGGTTCTTGAGACATGGAGTAGAGGAGGTGGAACAACAACTTTATAGAATGTTTGAGAGCTGTGGAATCCAGATGAGACTGTCAATTTGCAGCAACCAAATAAAGGGTTTTGCATGCCAATGTGGGCTTGTTTCGGGTACCGTTCAATATTGTTCCAACACACTGGATTTGATGTTTCTGGTAACTTTTCAAATCCTTATAAATTCAGGCTGCAGTTTTGTAATGGATTCAGAAGTTAGCTCTGTCACTTAACCCAGAAATTGTGTTTCTTATATTTGTGTGTATAATATTTGAGGGTGAGATTTAGTTTGTTGTATGCTAGAATTTGCAGGCTTTCAAAATACATTACTGGGCAGAGTTGCACACATTCTTCCATGGTAGAGTAGATATTTGGTTTGTAAGAGTTGACTAATGATTTGGTAAAATGTATTGCACCACTGATTTCATTTTGTATGTGTGTGGGTGCAGATCACTTACAATTCATTTTGCACAAGAGTAGCTAACAAATATTAAATATGAAGCTTCCTGAACTGCTCTAAAAAAGATATGTTTAGCTCTGACTGAGGATAAAACATTCCTGGATGTACGTTAATCTTCATTGGTAAATGACAATAGTACTCAAGTACAGTACACAATTCTCATTAGTTTTTTACATTGTTAATTGAAATATAAGCATTCAAGCAACACATGATTTAGATGTTTTCTCTTGTTACTGTTGTAATAAACACCTTTGTAAAGCCAACATACACTTGAATAAACTTACATATTCTGGGGGGAAAGGTAGATAAATTTTTGTATTGTCACACAGAGAGCTAACTCATTAAAATGCAGGAAAGCCCCCCCCCCCCAGCTAAGCTCTGCATAGCAAATATGGCAAAACCAGAGAATAATTTCTGTGCATCAAAATCAGAGTCAGGAATGTGCCTTTAGATTTATCTCTCTCTCCCTGTTTTTGTAGTGTGCAGTGAACAATTTCCTTTGGTCGTCTTTTCTGCTTTGATGTTTTTCTGCACCAGTAGAGATGTTGCCTTGTAAACAGTTCTCATGCTTGTTTATTTAATTTGTATTTCTGTTCAGCTTATTTTCATAAGAGTTCAGCAAGCCCATTTTTACAAATTATTTATCGCTCTCTTATTTTCTTTTTCCGTGGTGTAAATAAAAAAGCACTTTGAATTTCTGAAGTAGAGTTCATTTTATATTGCTGTAGCTTAGCTAATCAATTTAGCAAGACTTCAGTGCTTTTTCAGATTCAATTATCTCTCTTTGCTTCAGATGCAAGGAAAATATTAAGTGATAAAAATAAATAATTGGTGTTGAATTAGGGTACAAAGAGACCACTAGATAAACATTTTAAACTCACTGGAAAAATGGCCAGTGTTGTAATGAAATGAAGGTGCATATTTAGTGTTTATTGTGGTGCTGACTTGGAAAGCAATTACAAGTATAGTTAAAATCTGATTCAAAGCCAGTTTGCTTATATCTCCCTCTGCTGTTAGTAGATAATATTTCTCTTCTGTAGTTCATTTATAGGAATCAGGGTAACATTTCCCCCTCCTGTGCTTACTTTCAAAGAGTAAGTGTTCCCTGTTTAGTGTGTTTATTTTGTGGATCGTAGATGTAAATAAATAAATATACTGGTGAACTGTAGAAAGGTTGGTATTTAACATATGGTGCTCTTGTGAGATGCATGCCTTGAAAGAGGTGATTTTTCCATTTACAGTGGTACCTTGGGTTACATACGCTTCAGGTTACAGACTCTGCTAACCCAGAAATAATACCTCAGGTTAAGAACTTTGCTTCAGGATGAGAACAGAAATTGTGCGGCGGCGCAGCAGCAGCAGCGGGAGGCCCCATTAGCTAAAGTGGTGCTTCAGGTTAAGAACAGTTTCAGGTTAAGTACGGACCTCTGTAACGAATTAAGTACTTAACCCGAGGTACCACTGTACTGGTACATCCACTTCAACAGCTCGATCAACTGGATGAAGGTGGCCAAATTGCATTTTCCTTCAAAACACACTGGAAAAGAACCCTAAATAATTCAACAGCCAACTTGAATTCCATTGGTTTTTCTCCTTAGTCACTTCTTTCATAATCTGCAACCTCTTATCTCTTTCTTTGCCTTGAAAAATTAACATGTGCTTCCATGCACTTATACCTCTCCTTTATGCACGCTATAAGCCACAAAAAACGGAACACCCTTATAACTAAAGAAGTAAAGGAGCTCAATTCAGCAGGAGAAAAACATTCTTGTCTCAGGTTTCAGTCTCCAACCTCATACCTGATTCCTGCTGCACCTACCAACTATGCATCCTATTTCTCATCTCTTGCCCTTTCAATCTGCACTCCTAAACTCACGTAATAGAAAGTAACCCCTCATTTAACAGAATACGAGGACGGTACGTAACCCAAGGTTCCACTGTATTGGTATGCAAGAACCAGCTAGTTTATTACTTACTATGTTTGCAACCCCACCTTTCCTCCAGAGAACTGGAGTGCACAGTTCTCCCCAACCTCCTTTTACCCTGAAAACAAGCCCATGAGGTAGGTTAGATTGAGAGACAGTGACTGGCCCAGGGAGTGCCAGCTTGGCCCAGCGATTGTGGGTGCCCAGGGCCGTGGCTGCCATATAGCGTGCATGGCCCTGGCACTGGAATTTGTGGGTGCCTGGCCCCTTCATGGGGAATTTTGTGGGTGCTCAGGCACCCATGGCCCCAGGGAGATGGCACCTATGAGGGTCACTCAATGCCATGAATATTGACTGCCCAGAAAAGCTGCTTTTAACAGGGGAGTGCTGGTTTGAAAAGTTGTTGACCCACCTAAATCATTTGGTGATGCTATCCCCTGTAAGAAACTTGTAGTAAGCACCATCTGTGCAGGTCAGGCAATTTCAGCTATGTCAACATAGCTCCTCTTTTCCAGGAAATCATTTGGTAGAAATCTGTTAAAATGCATAGGAAGCAGCTTTGTAGTACAGTGGGACCTCGGGTTACGTGCGCTTCAGGTTACATACGCTTCAGGTTACACACTCCGCTAACCTAGAAATAGTGCTTCAGGTTAAGAACTTTGCTTCAGGATAAGAACAGAAATCGGGCTCTGGCTGTGCGGCGGCAGCAGGAGGCCCCATTAGCTAAAGTGGTGCTTCAGGTTAAGAACAGTTTCAGGTTAAGTACGGACCTCCGGAACAAATTAAGTACTTAACCCGAGGTACCACTGTAAAAGCTAACCGTGTGGCTGTTCTGCATATGAATTCCGATACAGTGGTACCTCAGGTTACAAATGCTTCGGGTTACAAACGCTTCAGGTTACAGACTCCGCTAACCCGGAAGTACTACCTTGGTTTAAGAACTTTACCTCAGGATGAGAACAGAAATCGCGTGGCAGCAGCGGGAGGCCCCATTAGCTAAAGTGGTGCTTCAGGTTAAGAAC